AGTGTGTGTGTGTGTGTGTGTGTGTGTGTGTGTGTGTGTGTGTGTGTGTGTGTGTGTGTGTTTCAGTCTGAACATCGCGCTGTGGCCCGTGTGGTCCTTCTTCACTCCGCTGATTCTCTTCACTCAGTTTATGGGTCTGGTGATGCTGATTTCACTGCTGGGCTGAAACACTCCTTCAGCAGCACAAACACACATACACACACACACACACTCACACACACACCTGGACAGAAGCTTTATTATATGTGTGTGTCAATGGTGAACACACCTGTTCTGAGCAGCTGCAGCACATCCGCGTGTCAGTGGACCGTGAGTGACCTCTGCTTGACCTCTGTCTGACCTCCCTGTGACCTCTGACCTCTGTGCACCGCTTCAGTCCAGTTCTGGGGATTCGCTCTGGAGATCAATGAGAGATGGATGAAAACACACACTCTGACTCTCGGATCAGCGCACACACACACACACACACACACACACACACACACACACACTGAAAGGTTCAAGGTTTCCTGCAGTGAAGCGTTCATCAGAGTCTCAGTACACCTGTAGATGATGGTCTTTCAGTGTTTTCAGACCTTTATGAGTTTCTCTGTGGATCACTAATGAAGATATTTTGAAGAATGTTGGAAAGCTGTAGCCATTGACTTCCACAGTAGGAGACTCAGATGCTGTGGTCAGCCGCGGAGTGTGTTATTGTTCTCCGTCGGTGTTGAACAGAAGCTCATACAGGTCTGGAGCGAGTGAAGTCAGAGTAATGCAGAGTTCTGAGATCAGCTGTGCCTTTAAGCATTGGTTAAGAGTACAGCGGCTGTTTTCTTTCAGGTCCTGTAGACCGTTGTGTCAGTCCGTGTTTATAAGAGTCTTCTAGAAGTGCAGATCCTCCTGGATGCTGTCCGTCTCTGCAGGATCTGCCTCATTCCTCTCTGCTAGACTCTAATGTGTGTAAAGTCACCTGTAAATCACCATCAGCCAATCACATTAAAGAGCTTGAGTATGTGATGAGTGTGTGTGTGTGTTCAGACGCTCTCGCTGTGCTTGGGTTATCTGCGGGTCAGTGAGGGGTTCGAGCTGGGTAAAGGTTGAGCAAATAAAACCTCTTCAGATATGTGTGTGTCTGTGTGTGTATGTCTGTGTGTGTGTGTGTCTGTGTCTGTGTGTGTCTGTGTGTGTGTCTGTGTGTCTGTGTGTGTGTGTGTGTGTGTCTGTGTGTCTGTGTCTGTGTCTGTGTGTGTGTGTGTGTGTGTGTGTGTTAAAATAATCCATGATGACTGTTCTCAGGTAGTTCAGGAGCAGATCTCCTCAGACACACAGACTTGATGTATTGCTGGAAATAGTCACTTTTCAGAGAATGTGCAAACCTTCATCTCTTCACTGTCAATCAGCTCTAATCAGAGCATCTGAAGCCTAAAAATTGATTTAGTTTAAAGAGATTTAGAGTTTTTATTGTGTGTGTGTGTGTGTGTGTGTGTGTTATATTACAGAGATGTACATAGAAACAACTATACAACACAATTTTGTAGCACATATTTACATTTATATAAAATATGAATCATATATATTTTTATATCTAAATATGAGTAACTTATACGTGCATAATAAAAACCCACAATACACACTAGGCATGGGTTGATGATGACTGTTTTCATGAAACACAGCGGTTTGGAAAAGTCAAGGTTTTAAAACTGCCAGAATGTTCAGCTAAACTCTTCCTAAGATATGTGAATGATTTTTTATTTATGGATTATTTTGGTTTGTTTGTTTGTGGGACAGCAGTATCTCCTGCAGAACACATCTCAAACATGCCGTTTAAATTGTAAAGAGAGCTGTGTTTTTAAAGCGAGAGCAGAAGCCAGTGATTTATATGAATGATTCCGCCTGACATGTTCACGGCTCCAAAATATTAGAAATGTTCTCAAAAGAAAATATACTGTGTTCAATAGGGAAAAAGGTTTTGTTTTTGACCCAGACATTTAGAAAGAAGCTATTTTACAGCAGTCATCTCAATACTGTGAAGCTGATATTTATTCAAGGTTATCATATGGTCAGAATCTTATACCGGCACATGCCTATTACACACACACACACACACACACACACACACACACTCACACACTCTCACACACACACACACACACACACACACACACTCACACACACACACACACACACACACACACGTCAGTCAATGCTAACGTTTATTTTGGAGGTGATTAATCATGGTATGTTTATTAACTCTGTATTTTGATGGTCCATTAGAGTATTAGTCGACTGTCTGCTTCATATCTGCTGCTGAACAGACATTTAACTGACTAGAAGAAACTTTGCAAGTATTTTACCTTCCACTAACCCAATAACAGTCCACTGATAATCTGATGAGAATGCAGTCTACCTTAATTCAACAACATAAGATGTGACTGTATAGTTTTGCCCAGCACTAGTTTCATTAGTAAAATCACCCTGAATCATTCCTGAGGTTAATTTCCCAATGTGTACGTCTGTATCTGTAGCGGCAGCAGAGCTCTGTCAGTTAACATTATCAGCATATCAGCTCAGTATCTGCTATTATTACACAGCTCTGTGAATACTTGACTCTGATTGGTCAATAAGGACATTCCAAGCTCTGTTATTCTTAGATAACAACTGATTAACACAAACTCATGCGGGAACTACCAACTAGCTTGACCATCAGTGAATATACCCTGATATTCATAAATCTGTCACTCCACGGTGTTTGTACCTATAATAAGATTAGTAGGTTAGTGTAAGCTGTGTTCAGCTGTTCTTCTTTATGCAAGCTTTACTTTTAATTAATAAGCTAATAAAGGAGTTTGCGTCTAACAGTTGGCCTGTGTAATAATCAGCATAATGCACATCCAGCTGGTGGTTCTCATACGGGCTGTATTGTGCACTGGATGTACATCGCCTCTTATTTAGAGCTACAGGTGCAGTATTTGGCATATATTTCCCATAAACAGCCATCAAATAACCTGCAGTGTGTCTGTTCCTGTCATCAACCTCTTATAAAGCGTGTTGGGTTGCATTTTGACCCAGATGAGATGCATAAACATTTTAGAACAAAACACACAAAACACACAAAACACACCGTCCCTACAGTATAGATCTGTACTGTTATCATCATTATTATTATGAGACACAAATATTTTAACAGAATATCCCCCATTGGATTGTGTGTGTGTGTGTGTGTGTGTGTGTGTGTGTTGCTCTTCTAGGAACTTCAGCTCTGTTCCAGGATCAGCATGACTGATGTAAAGATAAATAAGAAGAATAAAGTATCAAGATAAATCAGTATTGAGGAGCAGCTCCACCCGCCGCTCTGTGTGTGTGTGTGTGTGTGTGTGTGTGTGTGTCTCTGTGTGTGTGTGTGTGTGTGTGTGTGTGTGTGATTCTCAATGTCTGTCAGGGGATGCACTTGTTGATGCTTTCATACCACACACACACACACACACACGACACACACACTCAGTGTTTCTCAGGTGACGAGGGCTCTTCTGAATCCCGCTACGCTGATTAACGCAGACCAACGATTCATCAGACAGAGCATCTGGATATCAGAAGTTTGCGTTTGCATTGTGTGTGTGTGTTTGCTAATGCACAGACATGTGTGTTTAGTGTTTGGTGTCTAGTTTCTGTGTTCTTGAAACACTCAGCAGCTTGATGTGGAACAGATTGTTAATCAGACCCGCAGGACACACTGATAATAACACATTACAGTACAGTAATCTCACTGAGAGCTCATGACAGCATGAGGAAGCTCTACTGCAATACACACTGATGGCGGACGCTGAATTCTGACAACATTCATAAGATGGGAAGACGACAGTCTTACAGATGCCTGCGCCGTGGCCTTTAGATGACAGACTGCTCTCAGATATCAGCCCCGGGACTGAACTGAACGTTCAGCTGAGATCGCTATACAGGAAATATTGTGCACAAAACACCGCAGTAAACCTGAGACGCTGCTCGACACGGAGAACAAGAACACACTCCACATCCGCATTGTGGAGATCCTCAGGTGTGTTGAGGAGGAAATGATGCTGTTTACCTCCACTGCAGTCGCTTATTTGTTTCACAATCAGGGTGGCGCGGGGGTTATCACTGTGTTCTCACAGCAAGAAGGTCTCTGGTTTGAGTCTCGGCTGGGTCAGTTGGTGTTTCTGTGTGGAGTTTGCATGTTCTCCCCGTGTTGGCGTGGGTTTCCTCCGGGTGCTCCGGTTTCCCCCACAGTCCAAACACATGCGCTATAGGGGAACTGATCAACTACACTGGCCATTGAGTGTGTGTGAGAATGAGTGTGTTTGGGTGTTTCCAAGTACTGGGTTGCAGCTGGCAGGGCATCCGCTGTGTAAAACATATGCTGGAATAGTTGGCGGTTCATTCTACTGTGGCGACCCCTGATGAATAACGAGACTAAGCTGAAGGAAAATCAGTGAATGAATGAATGAATATGTGCTGACGGCATGTTGATAGATCCTCGTAACTCATTAAGTCAAGTTAATCATGCTCTAACTCAATTGTATAAGTTATGCCAGCTGTGTTATGTCGGTTTAACTTAATATCAGTTCAGGGGACTCTTGAGGTTCATTTGATTCAGCTTAAAAATGAAAGACCAGCAGGATTTACAGTGTCTGATGCAGCAGCAGGTCAGCGGGACTCTCAGCGGTGCTGTCTCTGTGCTGTAACTGCAGAGTCCTCATACGGTGTCTCTCGCAGAATAACCATGATTAAGTACATGTGACTTCATCTATCTTTTCAATGGGTGTCCAATGTGCTAATTGTTTGGGATCAAGCTGTGTATTTTTATATCAAGAACTTTAACAACAGCCATTAAAATGGAAAAGAAATAATAACAGCTATTAAAAGGGTTTAGACACTTATAATCTAACAGAGTCATAGAGACGCACTTCACAACCCTGATGCTGAACAACAGAGGATTATCCCACTATAGTGAACACAGATGGAAACAAACACCATTCACACACTGTCCAATAATCCACACACACACACACACACACACACACACACACTCACTCAACTGAGGAATATTGTGTAATGCCGGCTGCAGCATTCATTCTCACGCTCTGTAACTGATCTGCAGGTGATTTGCTTTGTGTACAGTGTGAACGCTTCATTCGATCTCCAACACTATAGTTTGTGTCCTGAATAAAGCAGAAACTGAAGAAGCCGTCAGTGTTGCACGTCTCCTGATAACAGCGCAGAATATTCCCTGCAGGAAAACAACATGAGACGTTACTCGAAAGAAGGACATCCTGTAACACATTCAACAACAGAGTCACAACACATCTGCAGATTATCCATGATAATAATGCTGAGAGTCTTCAGTCACACACTGCAGCTGACAGAGGCCGAAATGTAGAATATTCCAGCACACACACAGAACACGTCCTTCACATATCAGCACTTATATTCGTGTGTGCGCATGCGGCTGAGTGTGTTCAGCTCTCGCTGTTCTGTAAGTCTCAGGTGTGTCAGGTGTTTTGTGCTCAGTAATTCCTGTATTGTCCTGCTGGTCTGTGTCTGTGGGTTTAGCAGTGAGCATTACTACATTACAGCAGCTCACACAGGGGTTTAGCTCAGATATCTCCACACACAGCAGCAGGAGGACCCGCTCAATCTGCTGACACTGACTGCTGAACAGTTATTGATTAGCACGATTCAGAATCAACAACACACCAGACAAACACAACGACAACAACCAGTGTGTGTTCATGAGTCGAGCGGAGGGTTTCCATTCTCATTCTCTTAAAGCTTATTCCTTTATTCATCAGTGGGTCGCCACAGCGGAATGAACCGCCAACCATTCCAGCATATGTTTTTAAGCAGTTGATGCCCTTCCAGCTGCCCCATCACTGGGAAACACCCATCCATACACACACACACACACACACACACACTCATACACTACGGCCAGTGTAGTTGATCAGTTCCCCTATAGCGCATGTGTTTGGACTGTGGGGGAAACCGGAGCACCCGGAGGAAACCCACGCCAACACGGGGAGAACATGCAAACTCCACACAGAAACACCAACTGACCCAGCCGGGACTCAAACCAGAGACCTTCTTGCTGTGAGGTCATAGTGTTAACCACTGAGCCACCATGCTGCTCCCCAAACACACACACACACACACACACACACACACACACACCTGTGTCTAAATCAAGGTCAGGCATTAGAAAAGCCACCAGTGGCTGAGAAACTCTGATCTGTGTGTGTGTGTGTGTGTGTGTGTGTGTGTGTGTGTGTGTGTGTGTGTGTGTGTGTGTGTGTGTGTGTGTCGTGTGTCGTGTGGAAGCCTCAATGCAAGCACGTCCCCTGATGGACATTGAGATCCTCCCGGCGGGTGGAGCTGCTCCTCAATACTGATTTATCTTGATACTTTATTCTTCTTATTTATCTTTACATCAGTCCTGCTGATCCTGGAACAGAGCTGAAGTTCCTAGAAGAGCAACACACACACACACACACA